TGCGCCGGACTCATCCCTTTTCACTCGCCGTTACTCAGGGAATCTCATTTGATTTCTTTTCCTCCGCTGAATTATATGCTTAAATTCGGCGGGTAACCTCACCTAATCTGAGATCAAAAATATTGATTAAGTTGATTAATGTTTATTTGTGTTGTTTGCAAGCAAGCAACGTAAATCTACTTTAATGTTTGCACAAATTTTGCCTTTGCATTACTTCTTAGGTCTGCTTTAACAGAATGAAATAGATACTATTTGTACGATTTATACAAGTGCAAGAAGATTCATCAGTTAACAGGTTAGTTGATCACCATAGTTATCTGCAATACGACTTTAGCGTCGTCAGATAGGCGACTAACCTTAGAATCTCATGCTAGTATCTATTCATATATACTGCTTGCAGAGATGAAATATGCATTGTACACAAAATTTATCATGTGAAACAAGTAGATTTGAGATTCTCCTTACTAAATTGCAACGAATTGCAATTAAGAAAAGGAATAAAACATCAAGATTCATGCATATAAATATACAATCCTCTCAAAACAATGCATATATGGTAGTATGCAAGTGTTTTGTTGATTATTTTACATCTCAACTCTCAGACAGATGTGACCTCGGAAAAGACCCGAAAGCCGCAATGTGCGTTGGAAGCTCAAGTGCTCGGCGTGTCCTGCAATTCGCACCGATATCGTAGCTAGCTACGTTCTTCATCGATTGGTAATTCGAGTGATCCACCGCTTGAAGATGTATCTTTGCCACCGTGGGACTTTTAATAAGTATCCTAAATCTGCATTGAGAGGGTTTGAAAACAATTGTATGCAGTTTATAAAAACCATAGTTGTCTTTACTTAGTTAGGCGAAGAAGTGTAAAACTTCCTTCTTTAAACCTTGCCGTCAGCATAAGCTGAAGACTTGATCAGGTACCAAGTATGTAGCAAGACAGGCTTTTCATTATAAACTACAATTGTTTTGCAAAAGAAATTATGGCTATCGTTAGATAACCCTCACTCTTTGTTGCATTGGATAATGAAAGATGGATGTATGAATGAACGAATGTAATGCAAATTAGAATCATGTTGCAATGGCTAAATGTTTGCAATAAACATTCACAATTGCGACTCTATGCAATACAATTCAATTGCATTCACCATATTAGCATCTACAATATCACTATGCAGAGTGTTTGATTGTTTGAAGGTTGTATTTCTCTTATAATAAGAGGGTAATACGTTAATGATCCTTCCGCAGGTTCACCTACGGAAACCTTGTTACGACTTTTACTTCCTCTAAATGATCAAGTTTGAACATCTTTCCAGCCAATCCGACCACTAGTTTCCCAATGGTCTGGATTGACCAGTCCGAAGTCCTCACTAAATCATTCAATCGGTAGTAGCGACGGGCGGTGTGTACAAAGGGCAGGGACGTAATCAACGCAAGCTAATGACTCACGCTTACTGGGAATTCCTCGTTCATGGGCAATAATTACAATGCCCAATCCCCATCACGAAATGGGTTCAAGCGGTTACCCACTCCTTTCGGAGCAGGAAACAGTATGCACGATGACCACTTCAGTGTAGCACGCGTGCGGCCCCGGACATCTAAGGGCATCACAGACCTGTTATTGCTCTGTTTCGTGCGGCTGCGAGCGCCGCTTGTCCCTCTAAGAAGTCCTTACAGTGCTACAGCATCCTTACCCTAGCCAATTCTGTAGGCTAATAGCAGCAGAGCCCTCAACAGCCGAAACCATCAAGAGATACTACCACCCACAGGTTGACTAAGGGGGAGTACTGCAGTGTAAACTGCAAGTCTATTTAGTAGGCTAGAGTCTCGTTCGTTATCGGAATTAACCAGACAAATCACTCCACCAACTAAGAACGGCCATGCACCACCACCCACTGAATCAAGAAAGAGCTCTCAATCTGTCAATCCTCTCAGTGTCCGGGCCGGGTGAGTTTTCCCGTGTTGAGTCAAATTAAGCCGCAAGCTCCACTCCTGGTGGTGCCCTTCCGTCAATTCCTTTAAGTTTCAGCTTTGCAACCATACTTCCCCCGGAACCCAAAAACTTTGGTTTCCCGGAAGCTTCCATTCGAGTCATGAAATTAGTTACTCAGAATGATCGCTGGTTGGCATCGTTTATGGTTAGAACTAGGGCGGTATCTGATCGCCTTCGAACCTCTAACTTTCGTTCTTGATTAATGAAAACATTCTTGGCAAATGCTTTCGCTGTAGTTTGTCTTGCGACGGTCCAAGAATTTCACCTCTAGCGCCGCAATACAAATGCCCCCGTCTGTCCCTCTTAATCATTACCTTGGATTCTTAAGACCAACAAAATAGAACCAAGGTCCTATTCCATTATTCCATGCAAGATCATTCAAGTTAAGGTAGTGGTACGCATCATATAGATGGTTGACCATACCGTTTTTAGGCACCTCTTTCGAGGTTTTGGACGCCTGCTTTGAGCACTCTGATTTTTTCAAGGTAAAAGTCTCGATCGCTTGAATCAACACTCGGTAAAGAGCATTGATAGCAAATATCGAGCAATTTTCTGTCTAAACACTATGAATGTAACCACCAGGAAAGAGGAATGAAGGTTCAAGCAAGCATCCGTAGACACAAGCAAGAAACCTAACATCACCATCTAACCCTTTAATCAGTGGACCCCATAGGTTCGACTGAAATCCAACTACGAGCTTTTTAACCGCAGCAACTTTAATATACGCTATTGGAGCTGGAATTACCGCGGCTGCTGGCACCAGACTTGCCCTCCAATAGATCCTCGTTAAAGGATTTAAATTGTACTCATTCCAATTACGGGGCCTCAATAGAGTCCCGTATTGTTATTTTTCGTCACTACATCCCCGTACTGGGATTGTGTAATTTGCGCGCCTGCTGCCTTCCTTAGATGTGGTAGCCGTTTCTCAGGCTCCCTCTCCGGAATCGAACCCTAATTCCCCGTTACCCGTTACAACCATGGTAGGCGCATAACCTACCATCGACAGTTGATAAGGCAGTTGCTTGAGGGATACATCGTCGGCTCAGAGGCCATACGATTTGCTCAGTTATTCAGAGTCATCACAAGAAATGCAACCGAAGTTGCTAAGATCCCCACTGCTAGTCCTTAGACAGCGACCGAAATCACTGAACAGGGTTCTAGGTGAATAAGAATCATTGGTCTTGTACTAATAAATGCGATCCTTCCGTCAGCAAGCTGAGGTTGGAACACTTGTTCATGTATTAACCTGTGGGCTTAAATTATTGGACAATTTACTTCATCTATTTTCTCAGAAACCATTTGTTCAATAGACTTGAAATTTCCTAGCAATGATTATAATAGGGATATATTTATAATAATTAAATTTCAGAAAAATAGCACGATTAGTTTGCTAGATTTTTTCATTAATTCCTTGCGCCTCAATCAGCGAAAATGCTAAAGTTTTGAACGGAATTTACCATGCGTTAGTTTCAAGTCATGTAATTCTTAATCCGTTTACGGACTTCGTTCAATTTTATCATTTTGTTATCACCTGAGGTCCGAAAAATATGCTGGTAATTTTTAAGACTTTAAACACATCACAATCAATTGATACAGACAAATTAGTGTAGTAACTCTTTGAAAAAATTTCCTAAGCATAAATTTTGAAAGCCTTTGGAAAGCATGGCAGGAAAAGTTAATCTTATCTTTTCAGGTAGATTAAATGACTTCCAAAGAAAGTGCTTATCTCTAGTGACTCATGTATTCGTGTTTCGCGCTTCCGGGTTGAAACAATGAATAAAAAATAGAAAACGAGTATTTGCTACAATTTGAGGATTTGAAGTTCTTGTTTGGACACAAAAAGATGGTAGATTCGCTAGGGGCCGTGGCCACTGATTTAATGAGCCATTCGCGGTTTCACTTTATAAACAGTATGTACTTAGACATGCATGGCTTAATCTTGAGACAAGCATATGACTACTGGCAGGATCAACCAGGTAACTTGATGTTTTAGCAAAGTAAAATGCTAAACAAGTTGTTTTTGCAGCTATAAATACGATATCCTCAGCTAACAACCAGCAAGTGGATGCTAACTTTAACGAGGTATCGAGATTTATGTCGTGCATTAAGATAATTCTGCAGAAAACTCTTTAGAATACATCTTCTTCCACTAAAATGTGCAAGCACATCTAGCAGGAGTAACCATTGCTGGGTACGTTTGCAAGTCAACTAAACAGCATAGTATTATAACCGCTTGATACCAATTTCTTGGATCAATCTGCGGTCTGCTTTGCACAAGCAGAGCTCAATACTAATACTGCTCACTCTGTTGAGTGACTAGTTTGAACATATATGCAAGATATGAAGTCTGATAGCATTAAAGCCCAACTCTCATAGATATTGTCAGTCGTACCAAGGAAGACCTTAGGTCTTGCAGGTACTCTACCTTTGTATAATAGTGTGTGGTGATAAGATGATTGACGATCCAAACCCATTCAGGCCCGTCTCTTCAACCACCAAACATCAACAGAATAACAGGAATAGATGCGTGAACAGCTACAGTCTGGACCATACCACTGCTTGATGCATTGACTTATCCATAACCGTAGTCGTGTTACCATCTAATTTCATCTCAATTCAACTATCAACCTAAAAACCGCAACTACACTCACCACATATAACTGTTGGTTTAATTTGCACAATTTGGTAATGATGAATATTAGACTAAGTCCGTGTCTATTTTTGACACCCAATAACTTTTGAACCATAAGGTCAATCGCGATCATGTTTTCGGGGTAATATCCCAGTAGTGCCGACTATCGCATGCGCTTATTAATGACCTAAATTACTAAACGCAAGTGGCCTAAAATCGCGCCAATTCGAACATTCTCATTGCTTTTATGGGCTCAACCATTAAAGGCGATTTCCTCTGGTACCAACAGCACGAACTCGATCAAAATTACGCAATCATTAGTTGACCTAATGCTGATAATGTCCAAAAGATTTGGTACCGTGAATCGACCTCGTT